CCTGACCACTAGTCTCTACAGCAACATCAGTTGAATTCCCTTCATCACACTGACTCCCACTTCCTTCTACGCAACCATCAATATGACCACCATCAGTGGAATGCTCTGTATTGCATACACCACCACTGCCTTCTACACCGGCATCAATTGACGTATCTTTATCACAAACGAAGCCCACCGGGTCCATAATAATAGCTGCACACTATGTATATATAATAACACACTAAAATAACCAATGCATGACATTTGGTAACTACAAAACACATAAAATACTATACTACTTAATATGCACCACAATCATGCAACTTTCACACTATATTAACACAATAACACACAACATTGTAACAACAACAGTGACTTATCTCACCACCAGAAAAATATCAAACCAGATAAAAAAACGCTATACTACATTAATATGCACCACGATGATTCAAATTTCGCACTGTATTCACGCATTAACGCACAACGTCGTACAGCAACATCGACTTATCTCACCCCCAAGAACAATATCAATCCATATAAAACCGATATAACACATCCATGACATAACAAACGCATATTATTATGATCAAAATAAAACTACAAACGTCAATACATCAATACATACCATTCTCCATCGCACAAACTGCCCGGTATACTCAGATTGCCCTACCAACTGATCTCCGGCGACCTTCTCCGATTTGCGAACCGATCGCGATCTTGAACTTCCCGAAATTGCGATGTGATCGCTATCTTGATCTTCTCTTCACCAAGTTGCCGATTCTCTCCGAGTTTACATATATAGAACAGAATAGAATAGAAATTACCTTATATACATTCCCGTAACCATGTAAATGAAATTACATAACTACCCCCACTTACCAAAACGCGAACAACTCTTCCTTATTTTTGAAAATACGCCTCTGCCGTTAGATTGCCTTGATGCAACGGTTCAAATATAACCACACTGCCACATTTGAGCATTATTCTATATATATATATATATATATATATATATCAAAAGAGTGTTATTCACGGAAGGATTTTATTAAAAGTATCAAATGCAGTTTTCTGTTATGTAGCCAAACACCGGAAAGGAAAATGTTTCATTTTCTAAAAAACATTTTCCGGAAGTCATTTTCCTGCTTTCCAAACTGAGTCTTAAAAGATTTCATGCATAACCATTCATTTGTTTTGTATCTCATTAAAGATCGTCTGGATCTCTTCAACCTGATTCAAGACAGTTTTAAAATCTACCATCTTGTAATCAATGAATTGGTCGAGAATAAATTTCTTTGCCCCGTCATCTTCACTCTTATACTTTTAGTCTAAGGATTATTTCCACAACTCCTTAGTTGTCTTCAATATGCAATGAACATTGTACAGTGTTTCATTTAGCTTGTTCAAAACATAGTTTCAGCATAAGAAATAAAAATGTTTCCAAACTTCCACTATGCTAACAATCTGCCCATTAGACTCAAGTTCCTTCAGATTTAGAACCATCTCAGTTAAGAATCTCACAAGTTCAAAAGTCGTTAAGTAAAACATCGTTTTTGCTTCCACCATTTTAAAATTCAAACCATTGAATTTCTCCAGCTTCTTAGCCAAACAACTTGGTATCGTAACGATTACTTGCATCATAGGGATAAACCCTTACATATATGCCAATGTTGGCCAAGGTTCAAGTATTTGAATATGCAATATTTGCCTCATTCACATTGATGTCATTTGTGACATTGCTGTCTTGAAAGTTAGTGGAATCCAGCGAATTATCAATTGATCAGTCACAAATTTTGAAATAAAATTCCTCAAAAATTCAATTTAAATAACCAACAAAAATCCAAGGCTAGATTGTGAATCACGTACACTTTTCTTAAAACTGTTATTTTTGTAATCTAATTCCAGACTTTTGTATTTTTGCTCAATTTAGTCTTCTGTTTTTCCATCCATTTGGTGTTAAATAGAGGGACAATTCAGTAATTTTAATATTGACATCACTTTACACCTAGACATGCAAAGTGCGAAATTTCTATTTTTTTTACGAATTACTCTTAGAATTACTCCCAAAATTAAACCTGCGAATTAATATATTTTTTTTCTTTTGAATAAAGCCTTGATGTCGATGCCATGATGGTTGACAACCAAGTTTTTTAAAAAAAAAAAATTAAATTAAATTTTTATAATAATTATTATTATCAAAAATTTAAAGCTTGACCGCAAGCTCTTTAATTTTTTTTAATACATTATTATTATCAATAATAGTAAAATTTAAACCACTAATTTATATATATATATATATATATATATATATATATATATATATATATATATATATATATATATATTAATTTTCAATAATAATAATAATAATGATAATAATAATAATAATAATAATAATAATAATAATAATAATAATAATAATAATAATAATAATAATAATTATTATTATTATTATTATTATTATTATTATTATTATTATTATTATTATTATTATTATGTGAATTGGGCACTCAATTCATCAAAACATATTGATATAGCACTTCAATCACCTTTAACTTGGAGATTACTTCGAATAACATGTCAAATGTGGTTAATTATACTTCTTTAATTTGTAAGTTCATGTGTCTAATTGAAGCGTTTTCTAATTCAAATGCTTAACTATACTTTCATGAATAGTTAATGGCTTATTTGACACTTATCCCTTTGTTATTTTCCTTTACGATGCAAAAGTTATTTTCAAGATCCGGCCTAGTGTTAATTCTCAAAATGGTCCTCTAACTATGACCTTTTCTCAAATTGGTTCATTGACTTTTAATTACATCCAAAGTGATCCTCTGACGATTGAATTTTAAGCCAAAATGGTCATTCGTTAGTTTTGGTGTTAGGTGTGTGTTAAAATGAAGGGTAAAACTGATAATTCAGGTTTTGTTATTGATAATGTATTAATTATTATTTTTATTTCCCTTTTATTTATAATTTTATTAATTTTTTCTCTTAGTGGGTGTTTACTCAATTGTGTAATGCATGATATTGTACTAGTAATATTAATTAATATATGATTGATTACATAAAAAAAAAAAATCATAATCTGATCAGTTTAATAAATGTAAATCTAATATTCTAATGTGTTATTATTGTATTTGAATACATTAAACTGGCCACCAAATAATAATAAAATAAAATAAAAGAACCGTTCTAAAACGGAAAAAACAAGTTACCCATCCAAAGTTGAAATCACAAAAAAACGAATGAAAATTAGTCTAAGTATATATGTCATCACTTTATCCTTCAATTATGCCAGTCCACTACGAATAAAGATTAGTTTAAGTATATATGATACGAACTTAAATATAAGTCTTATAATTAGAGCATACTCAAAGACTTTGTGATCTAATAAAAAAAAAAGTTATAGCAAAAATATATACACACGGAAAGGATGCGTACGGGTGAATGGGCAATTTCCAGTTCCAATCACAATATATATAATGGAAGGATAAGAAGAGAGACTCCACCTCCACTTGTCAACTTTCATAAATCAATACCAACTTTCCTCATTAAAGTAAACATTTCTATTTCATCTTCCATTATTATAACCCGTGATTCAATGTCTTACTAATATGATTTAAACTGCATGGATCAATTCATTCTCGTCCAAACATTTAAAAAAAAAAAAAAGATAAGAGTCATTTAAAAATAAAATATCTCTGATCTCAAAGTAATGTATAACTAAATCAAATATTATATAAATTTAGTACTTGACATTTACTCATAACTAATGTGTGACATGACAACAAACACTTACAAATTTTATTAGAAATGATTCCATTCAATAAGCATCAGACAGTACTTGGAAATATTAGATTTCACAACTAACTATTTAACATGAAAATCATATATTAGTAGACTGAATAATTAGCTTTATAAGATTCTTGATTAAATTTGTTAGTGGTCCCATTTGTAAAGCTAATTAAAGAATGGGTTGGGTTGGTGAGAAACAAATTATATTGCCTAATTAGTCATAATCAATTTGTTCATCTCAAAAGCCTGATAATAGCTGTCCATAACTCAAGAACTAACATCACTAATCTCTCTACTTAACTACCACCTCGAGAATGGCTCAACGCATAACTATCATAATTGCTTCACTACCATGCTTAACCTCACTAATAATCTAATATAATATAATTTGTGCTCCGATTATAACATTGTTTTTAAAAGGTTGAATCCCCAACCCCAAAGGTCTCCCACGTCTCGACTTGAGAGAGCATCACACTTATAACATGTTTTGTTCATAGAATGAGTTAGTAATAAAATAATGTTCCTGTGAATAATCTTATTACATTGTTTGTCTTGGAAATAACATTCCTGACAATGAGATATTACCTTGTGGAGAAATAACCATTCTTAAAGGGGCTTGACATTAGCTATTCTCATGCTATCGGGAATTGCTTTTAAATTATAATACCAAAATATTCTTTACACACATGCGCGTATATATATATATATATATATATATATATATATATATATATATATATATATATATATATATATGGAAGGGATCATGTGCATTTGTGGCTTCCCGTGCGGTTGAATAATGTGCGTAAATTTTATATTTAATGTACGTGAGTCTTGTGCTTAATGTGCTTGAGATTTGTACGCGTGCATGTCTAATGTTAATGTGTGTGAGTTTTGTACTTAATGTGTCTGGGTATTGTGCTTAATGTGCGTGAGGTTTGTGCTTAATGTGCGTGAGTTGAGTTCAGAATTACGAGCTCAGAAGGAAGCAAAACAGAAAGAGAAGGTGGGTGAAGCTTTTCTGATTGTGTGTGAATGGATGGATATATGTAAACGCACATATGGCTGTTCTGATTTTATGTTTTATCTGTACAGGAGAGAGAGAAAAGATTGAGAAAGAAGGAAAGAAAAAAGGGTGGTGGCCTGCTAATGAGAACGAAAATGTTTCAATCTGTAAGAGCATAAAAGACAATGTGAATGAAGCTGAAACAAAGAAGACTGAGGAGGGTGGTAAGAAAACTCAAAAGGCCCTTCAGTATGCAAAGCAAAACAAGACAAAATTCATTCCTCCACCACTTCGAAACAAAAACAAGAAGAAAATGCAGAAGTGGATGCGCATAATTTTCACAGCAGTGGATGAAGAACATGTAAGATTTTTCCTAATAATATATATTGTATATTATATATTAGGGCCTTAGTTAAGTGGTGCAAGTTGACTAGGCTTATTAAGTGGTATGGTTGAACTGAATAACTAGAAGTTGTTAGTCAACCAGACTCTGTGCCTAATATAATCCTGGATTGATGGGATACATGATGATTGATGTTAGCACATTCAGTTACGGTACTCAGACTGCTCAGTAGATACCAATACACCATCTTGGGTTCTGAGTCAGGTTTGAGGCAAAACATGGCTAACGGTCTACCGTTAAGAGGCAACACAACAGGAACATCAACTATGACTGGAGATCAACACGGCTATGCTTCCACTATCATACGAGGTCAGGTTTCTCGTATACTATGGTTTATTATAGTTAGACTATTGTATATCTAACATTCACCCACGCACATTAAGCACACAACTCACGCACCTTAGGCACAAGACTCACACACCTCAAGTACAAAACTGACGCACATTAATATTACACATTCACGCACATTAAGTACAAATGTCAGGCACATTAAGCACAAGACTCACGCACATTGAGTACAAATCTCACGCATATTAATCAACTGCACAACCGCACTGGAACCTTTCACTATATATATATATATATATATATATATATATATATATATATATATATGTGTGTGTGTGTGTGTGTGTGTGTGTGTGTGTGTGTGTGTGTGTGTATGTATGTATGTATGTTTGTAGGTCGTACATAACCTGTAATATGATAAAATAAAACAGAATAAGCATACACTTAATGTTGAATATTAATAATTCACTTTCAAAATATGATTGTGCAATAACTTTTCAACATACTTTACTTGTGGAACTTGCATCCATTGACAAATTCTCAAAGAGTTTGTCGAAAAATTCAACAAACACTTGAAGGAATGGAAAATCTATATATGATATTCACTATTTTGTTGTGTGAACGTCTCGCATGAGGTTTAAGTCATGCGAGAACAAGTACATTATGAAAGCGAACAACGACACTTTTGGTTAGCGTGACGGATCAAATTGAATATGATTTTCACAAACATATGTTTAAACTCAATGATTTTGGGTCGTTGAAGGCTCCCGGAGTGTTGATAGCACTCAGCTAATTGGTAAATTAAACTTTTGTTATAATTTCGTTCTATATTAGGTGTTTTTTGAATTTATTTTTGATATACTAAAAATACATTCCTGATCGTCAACTTAAAGTAGTTTGGTTGTTCCTTGCTGATTTGATTAACCATGTAGTTTCCATTACTGAGCCAAAAGTTATCGAAGTCAATCGAAACCCGCAAGGGTTGATTAATTTCTTCATTGAAGATTTTCGGTAGGAATTTTTTAGATGACTTTTATATTTGATTAACTATAAATATAGCTTTCATCATGACAGAGTAATGGTGCTAGCACCCGACCCGGGTTGTCAACAGGCACCTGACCAGGCCCCCCGTGGAAACCCAACCGGCAAAACTCCAACGACCAGAAGTCATTTACTACCCCGCTCATTCAAGACAAGGAAATAATGGCCCAACTCCTCATTATGTTAGCTGTTACGTTACCGCCTCATCAAAGAGCAGTTGCTGAGGAGACCTGCACTTGTGGAAGTGAGCCGTTTCACTTATTAGAAGGTCATTACTGCCTATTATTATAATTGTTACCATTATATTGTTATAAGTAGATGATTCTTGGATGAGGAGGGGGACACACTCAATACTCTTGTACTAAGATACGCCCACTATCTTGTACTCAAACCTATTGCAACACAACTTACATTGTCTCAGTTACATAATAATATTATCCGGTAACATATTTACCGTCATTGGTGCTTTCATTGAGAGCCTGAGTCCGACATTCAAGCAAGTGACAACACACACAACTCATTCCCTCTTTCAACAGCAAGCTTGAAAGAATGGTGTCCGGCAGCTCCCACGGTTCCTGCAAACAATAACAATATAATCTCTAAATTATTTAATTACAAAATCTTACTTATTCCATAAAAATACTACTAAATTAAACCTAATAATATTTATATGTAGTTTTGTTAGCTTATTGACTCGGCACCCACTTGATGAATAACATATGTCATTTGCATCATTCTGACTACCCTTTTCTTCTTTGGCTTCCACTTCAGTTACATTGGGAATTCATACTTTTAACTTTGGGGCCTATAAGCTAGCTAGAGTTAGCGTTATAATTATTCAATAAAAATAATGATTAGTCATTAACAATATTGACATTTGGTGAATGATTTTTATAATTAAAAAAAAAAAAAAAAGTTAGGTTCTTTTAAATTCACTATTGGTTGGTAGATTTTGCCCATAAGAATGAGTATGAAAGTGATTGTTGTTGTTTGGTTGATATGTTTTTAAAACACTACTATGAGTTTCGAATACCTCATCAATTGAAAAACTCATACCCAAATGAAATAAGGGTTTCATTCTCTTATTCATTCTCAAGCACTATTATTAGTAACCATTCTCATCCCACCTTACTGCCAAACATGTTAAATACTTTCACCAAAACCCATTACCATTACCAAGTATTTGATACCCATTTCGATTCCGATTCTTATGTGTGAACCAAACACACCCTAAATAAGTATAATAAAATCCAATTCACTTAAGTTTGCAGGCAAGAATTCATCATGTACTTAATGTTCAAAAATAGTCCGGGCTTAGCTTATTGGTTCAATAGGTAGTATTTGAGATAAGACACTAAAGTGTGTGTGTGTGTATATATATATATATATATATATATATATATATATATATATATATATATATATATATATATATACTAGTTTTTTACGCGCATTGCGCGATTGGGATAATGCCCAATGCTTTTTTTTTTAAATAAGTATTTTAAAGTATATTAAGGCATGATTATATTGAAATTGTTCATGCATATATAATTGAAGGTTGAATTTGCGTATTTAAATAGGTAATTCTTTTCCCAAAGGTTGAGTCTCCAACCCCAAGGGCCCCCCACACTCCGACCCGACAGAGCATTGTGGGAGGTTGTAAATGCTGATACGCACAAGGAATCTACCTACTTTGGACATAATTCCCGCACTGCCGCCGCCGAGGTTCAAAACTTGGTCTCTTCTCCCAAATACTACCCATTAAACCATTGAGCTAAGCCGGTGCGGGTTAAATAAGTAATTCTAAGTTTACAAATGCAAGATAATATAGTCAAGATTGATTATAATTGTCAATAAAATAATTGTATAGGTATGGTTGAAACCAAATACGAGACATAAGGGAGAACAAATAAAAATTAGGGCATAAAATATTAAATATATACTAATATTGTTTGAGGAGATTCCGACATTAGGATTTGTGGTTAAGTTCTATTAAGACTTTAATATTAGAATTAGATTAATGGTGTAGTTATAATTCTATATTAGACTTTAATATTAGAATTAGACTAACGGTGAATTAACGGAAAAATTAAGAAAAAAATTAAAACCTGAACAATATGAACCATTCATTTGATTTAATAATTTGGCGGTCATTTTTTCTACCCAATGTTAATAATTAAATAAATTTGCTGGTCAAATCCGCTAGTATAATCCGCTAACGCTAATCGCTAACTGCTGATTGTCAAACAATGACATTGCGAGGTAGTTCTCACTTCAATTTGTTGTGTGATTTGAATACTCTCTTTGTCACAAAATCTCTCAAGTAGTTAATATGGTTGGCTTTATTAATTATATTTTTTAAATTTTTTCATGGTATTAATAAAATACTTGGTAAATAAATATATAGCATTATTTTGTATTATTACTTTGATATTTAATTAGAAAAATAGTGCACAAAAAAGATAATAGATAATAAAGACAATATAACTAATGAAAATATTTCTCTTAATTAATTTATTGATAATGAATAATTTTTTTTTTACTGAATTAAGACATTGTAAGGACAATGTAGCGAATATAATCAATTAATAAATTTGAATATAAAGAATTTTTATATTGTAGAAAAATAAAGACAATATAACTAATACAATTATTTCTCTTATTTAATTTATTGATAATGAATAATTTTTTTTTGAATAAAGGCATTGTGGACACATAATTCTAAATTAAAGAAATGCATATCTATAATTTTTTGTTGTAGCTACTAAATTATTATTTATATAATTTAATAAGAGTAAAATAGAGTACTAATTATGCCAACTTTGATTGGGATGAGGTTCGAACCTAAGACCTTTTTTTTTATTATTGAAATCAATGAGTAAGTTAACGGTAAACAAACGGTAATTCTTAAAATTTTAACGAAATTAGTAACGGTGTGTGGGTATTTTAGGAAATTTTAGTGTAAAATTTAAATCTTATCAATCTTTTAATCAATCTGAGCCATTCATTTGATTAAAATCTGTGACCGCCATTTTTTCTACCCATTATAGGCCTAACTCTCTTGGGCTCTTATTAGTATAGTAGATATATATATATATATATATATATATATATATATATATATATATATATATATATATATATATATATATATATATATATATATATATATATATATATATATATATATATATGACTCGCAAACTCGGTCTATTTAAACTAGATTATACATCTCCATAACATAAGATTGAAAATCTAATTTATAATCAACTATGTTATTTTACTACTAAGGTTTATAATACTTAGACGATTACAGATTCAAGAATTCTAAATGGCAATTTACTGGAATTATATATATATATATATATATATATATATATATATATATATATATATATATATATATATATATATATATATATATATATATATATATATATACACACACACACACACATATGTATGTATATATATATATATATACATATATACACACACACGACGTCATTTTGAACTTTAATTTTAACAGAGATTTGTTTTTCAGTTCGCGTTATTTTAATATTGTAAAGCATGTTTCTGTGTATTGTGTTATGCGTTTCTGTGCATTGTGTTATGCGCTTCTGTACATTAAGCATAAGGATTATGTATATGAAATTGATTAGTAGTTGTATAACACAAAACACATTGTATGTCTTATTTTACGAATTTATGTCTTTTATTATGCAATTATGTGCCTATATGACATTAATTATTTACATAAATCATATCTGGGAATAAGTAAAATAGAAAACATGTGTATGTATCTCGTGTTATGCGTTTCTGTACATTATGTTACGAAATTCTGTACATTAAGCATAAGGATTCTAAACATGAAATTGATTAGTAGTTGTATAACACAAAACACATTGTATGTCTTATTTTACGAATTTATGTCTTACATTATGCAATTATGTGCCTATATGGCTATATGACATAAATTATTTATACAAATCAGATATGAGAATAAGTAAAATATAAAATATGTATATCGTGTTATGTGTTTTTGTGTATCATATTATGCATTTCTGTACATGAGAAATAGAAAGTTACGAAATCTGTTAAAACTTACATATCGAACGACGTCGTTTTGATTCAGAGTCCACAATGATGTGTAGGTCCTAGTCCACGATATAATTGCCCTTTTAATATACAAATTTATAAAATACAATACTTACTTCAGACCCTTCAGCTGCGCTGTAATTAAAATACATTCTAATTTTAATCTAAAATGTTTGAAATGTAATTTCATCCTTTTAAAAATAAAAAGTAAAAGATATATAAAAATCAAGAAAAGTATTACTAAAAATGAAGTAAACTCCATATAATAATATTCGACTATTCGTACGTACATAAAGAGTGAGTGAATAAGGTCCACAAATTTAACGTGCGCTCCTTTATGGAAAAGCTAGCGAGATAATTATTATTATGTGGTAATTCTGATTATCTAAAGCAAAACAATAAGGATGTATGTAATGCAGACTGTCCACCCACCCAAAAGCTCCCTAATTATTTTAGCATTAGCCCTCATGCATGCATGTAATGTAATCACTAATCAAATCCCCCTTTTTAATTATGCTTAGCTAAACCATCTTAGGGAAGTTAGGCAATCAATTCACAACGACCGGACCACACCCGTCCTACTTTTACTCTTCCCATAAGTCACCCATCATTATTGTGTGAACAAGCTGTCTAAATCAAACTATCAAATAATGCACTTTTAGTATATTAAAATGTACATTATATTTAAAAAAACGTACATTATTTAAGTACTGAAAATACATTATTTTATATAATGTACATTCAATATACAAAAAATATACTTTTAATATATTAAAAATGTACTTTTTTGTTATTATCCACACAATAATTTGCAATAAACCACAAAATGGACTAATATTTTCATGTCCTAAAGTGATTGAATTGGGTCATTTGGGTGGGACCAAATTAAAAGAAAAAACAAAATATCTTTGAAGTTTGAACATTAAAATTGATAGGTGTATTATAACTTCATATAAATGGAGTAAAATTTGGAATGTCTGTTATATATAACTCCACACAAATGTTGCCACATGCTTAGTTTCTATCTTATAAGCAAATATTATTTGATATATATATATATATATATATATATATATATATATATATATATATATATACACACACACACATATATTACAAATTAATTGTCACGGTACGAAGTAAAAATTGAGACAAATTGTACAATTTTACACAAATGAGTTTTTTCCATGCAAAAAAATTTGAGATGACCTTTTTCAAAAAAAAAAAAAAAAAAAAATTGAGATGACCTGTAATAAATCATTATAGTTAAACATGTATTATTTGTTTTGCCGAATAATTCGAACATTTTTAGTAACTTAATATACACTTACCTAATTACACATGCAATTTATTATTAATATCCCGATGGTAATATACTTATGCTAATAATATTAACATGGTAACGTCCGATGATGCATTAAATCAATCTAAATATGTATAGAAAAATGATAGATGTACTCCTAGGGAGTATAACGTATATTATTCCAGTCACGTGTACAAATTTTATTTATTGGATAAAAAAAATGAATGAATAAAAAACAATGGTCCAATATTATTTTTTTTAGATCAATCAAATTAAAAATGACACATCAGCATGAAGTAGTAATTAAGAGCAACCACAATAGTGGTGTTTGTTCAGATTTTTTAGAAAAATTTAACTGAAGTAAAAGAGAGAGAGAGAGAGAAGAGGTGAGAGCATCCTACAAAGAGTAGTTTTTTGTCTCTGACATGGACCCCACCAAAATTTGAAAAGGGATGCCATTTTTCACGTGAGGCGCAACAACAGCGCCCATCCGGACATGTTACTGTAGCTTTTTTTCTTTTCTTTTTTTTTTTTTTTCCTCAATCCTTCTCTCCTACTTGACATCTTAAAATTTGTGCAAAACACCAACTATTGAGGATGTCCTAAGAGCTCGTAGGTATATTACTATTTTATTTAAACATTTGTTAGACAAAAAATGATATTTTCTCCTTTTGATTTATTTTTGAACGTGATAGTATTAAAAGATTAAAATTAGAAGGTAAATTTAAGAGGGTAATGTAGTAAGATTGTTTGACCATTTCGGTGGAGAATTGTGTGGTCTGTATGCATTACCTTTTATATGTGTTATACTGGGCGTAAGTCGAAAAGAAAATTGCTTATAAATAAGGGCTCCTAGGGTTAGGGTTTCCCCAGAGAAATGACCTGGACGAAATCTTCTCTTCTCAATCCTCTCATCTCATCAACATCATCATCATCATCCTTCCATAACATAACAACTCATCAAGAAATGAAAAGGCACAAAGTGGTTGTGAGGAGAGGGGAATCTTCGCAGAGCTCTGCAAATTCGTCGTCGTTCGCGGCGAGGACAATCCGGTACGGGGAGTGCCAGAAGAACCACGCCGCCAGCGTAGGGGGGTACGCGGTGGACGGCTGCCGGGAGTTCATGCCGAGCGGGGAAGAAGGGAGCGGCGCCGCCGCCCTCACGTGCGCCGCCTGCGGCTGCCACCGCAACTTCCACAGGAGGGAAGTTCAAGCTAATGAAGTCCTCAACGACGTCTCCTCTTCAAATGCAGCGTAGATATGATATATATATATATATATATATATATATATATATATATATATATATAGTAAGTTTATGTGTGTTAGTGTGTATGTATTTGTGGCTGTAGTATTAGCTACAAGATTTTTTCGGTTTTGGGTGTCTGGTTAAACTCATATATATATACTTATATATGTGGCTTTGGAGATCAGAAGACTATGTTACGTTGTTGTAATGTTTTGGGGTTTGATATATATATATATAAATACAAAATCTTATATTATACAATGGATGTGATGCTTTCTTAACAGACAGATCCCTTGAGTGTTGGGTCATTCATGATGTTTTTTTAGGTATACTTCTCATTCTTTTTAAGTACTCTTATATTGTGTATGTGTATTTACTTAATTATTATTAGCAGCTATCATAGCCGCATTTACGAATTGACTCTAAGGATTTCCTTGTCTTCAATGATCACTTACATGGGAGCACATTGGTTGCCACATAGCTAAATGTTGTGAACATCTTCCTTAAATTAAGGTGGATATATGTTGGAGAATATATAATTAATAATTAATGTTGTGGGCAGTCATCTATATCAGATCAGAGCCTCATATCATGCAAAATTTGATGTGTAAAGCAGAGACAATATGGTAAATTGAAGAGAGAAAATAGCATTACATTGTGATATGATGTTTAGTGTCCAAGAAAATTGTATTGATTTGATTTATAGATCATCAGATCACCCAGGCCACCAGATATATAATACATATATTATGCATGCCCGCGCAGGGCTAGCCAACTCAACCCAATCTCTTTGAGGGTTGAACTTAAAACTTTTATGACTACTGGAAATTCCACCATGAAAGTGATCTTAAATTAAATCTAAAGTAAAAAAGTGGTCGGAAATAGCTATAAAGGTTTTTCCGGACAAGCTTTTCAGGTGGTCGGAAATTCCACAATTTTCAGCAGTGATGGTTACCGAGCATAACTAACTAATTGTTGCAATTACACATAATTGCTTACCTTTATATATGCATACATTAATTACTAGAGCTATTTGTGTCTTTAATTTATTACTTAAATGACTATAGACATCTTTACTGCTGGAAACTGGTATGGCACAGATGCAAAAAGTAGTAAAGCTGGATAGAAATATGAATAATCCTAGACCAAGCAAAAAGCACAGAAGGCAGGAGGGTGGTATATTTGGTGGGCGTAAAATTGTAGAGGCTGAGGATGCCGAACAGATGCGATCTGGGCCACAAACACAGACACGTACAATGCGGTACCAGAATGACGATGTGGTTTGTGGTGTGCGGGAGATGAGATGAGATGAGATGAGAGTGTCAGCGTCATCTGCCCAACATATGTTTTAAGGATCAAAGTGAGGGCGAGGAAGAGTTGCAGTGCCGAACAGAGAAGACGATGGCCACTCAGAAGATGCGCGGTACCAGAAGCGTGTCGTTTGATGTTGGGCATGTGAATGTTCGTTCATGCACACTCACACCCGCCCCGCTACTATATATGTTAGGTATTATATATATATATATATATATATGGAGATCGATCCAGAGCAACTTATTAGGTATGTGTTAATTGTAATCTGGTACACGTCAAATCTCCTTCTCATCTACTATATGTCAGCCTGCACCCACCCTATTCCATATATATTGTTTCATTTCTTACAGTAAGTTATAAGTATATATATATATATATTCCGGGATTAGGTGCGACAAACTCCTCTTGTGCCCGTATGTGATGCACTTAGCTAGGAGTGGTCTGTGATGCACCGCCAAATATTGGTCACGCATAACTAAATGCACCAGGATATCAACGAAAATACTAAAATGTCACCACAGTACCAACATTTGATGGTGCACAAGATTAGCCTGTAGTGCACCACAAACGGCTGCACCTCCACGAGGGAGGAGTCTCAAGATTAGCCCGTAGTGCACCACAAACGGCTGTACCTCCACGAGGGAGGAGTCTGATGCACCTAAACCAGGCCCTATATATATATATATATATATATATATATATATATATATATATATATATATATATATATTATCCTGGTTTCCATTATATTGTGCCCATGTTTTGTTAGGTCGTCCAACTACACGTACGTACCAATCCCATCCCCAGAGAATGTGAAAGTCCAGGTGAAACAAATTAAATGTTATCAAGCTGCTATTTGTTTTTATGTGCAGACATGGAAGTAATACAGCATCTTCATCACCAAAGTTTGTGTATACAACAGGCCAGGTGGAATATATGTGTGTGGGGATCAAATGAGAACAAGTCTTTAGGAGATAGATAATAATTAATTAATCTGAGCCTTACATTTGGAAAAATGGGATGGATCATATCAAATTAAAAAAAAAATATGATGACATTTTCGTAATTATTACCAACTTTACGATACAAACTTGAACACTAAAATCTGTAATTCTTAGATTTTTCAAGGTTGCACATTTAGTATTAACATTTTGCATATTTAGTATTAAAAGATTGCACTTGCAAAAATGCATTGCACTTAGAGTTTTGATTTTAGAGTTATGACTGAGTTTTTTGTTTTATTTGGTTTAGTGGTTCACTTTTAACTGCTTAAGGTCTAGCATTTGTAGTTTAGATTTAAAATTTAACTTTTTTGTTTATTTTATTATAAAATTTACCAGGCATATTTAGTTGTTAAAGATTTCATATTTAAGTGTCCAAGTTTGCATAGTTAAGTTGATGATAATTACGAAAATGTCATCGCGTTTTTTTAATCTGATTAGATCCGTCGAATTTTTACAGATGTAAAGTTGAGATTAGTTTTTATTTCTCTCATATGGTACCGTTCTTAAGGATCATTAACACGCATGCGCACGCGCGCGCGCACACACACACACACACACACACACACACACACACACACACACACACACACACACACACATATATATATATATATATATACGGAGCAGGGCCGGATTTTGGGCTGTGCAAGCAGCCCAATAGCACAGACCCCCAAATTTTAGGGGCTCAAAATTTAATTTTTACTTAACTAGTTAGGAATTAAATACAAAATTTTTTATTTGCATTTAATCATAGAGGATTGCACATGAAGAGATGGTAAAAGCAAATCTTTTCCTTGCGCACATTCCATTTTACCTTATTATTATTATTATTATTATTATTATTATTATTAGAAAAAATTACGGTATTAGTTTTAAAAATTAGGCTTTTGGTAGGGCCTCATTCATTTACAAGAACGGGGCCACCAAAATCTAGAAACCGGCTCTGATACGGAGTATATACTAAGGATCAAATGAGGACCTATCTTTAAGTGAGGATCTGAGGACTTATGTGATCTTTTCATTTAATTAAGCTAATGATTGTGATATTATTCTATGCAATGAATTTAATTTTTCGTACTCAATTTGTTGTGCATTTTTTCTCAGTTTTTTGGGCATTCAATCTCAATTTGTTCTGCATTTGTGGTCAATTTGTTGTACATTTGGTCCCAATTTTTTAAGCATTAATAGTATGATTGTTGTGCATCAAGTTCACTTTGTTGTGAAGTCAGTTTTTAACTTTTTGTTTTGTCATAGCCTTTAAATCACTCTAAATGGATGATAAGAATTAGTCATTACCTAAAGATAGGTCTTCACCTGATCCGGAACTTTTATATATATATATATATATATATATATATATATATATATATATGTTACACCGTAATATGTATATGCATGCATGCACTCTTCACTACTTTCTATGCATGGTCATTATATTGTGTCACCCTCATATTACCGGACGACGTGCTTCAATTCTGCCAACCCAAATGTGGTTAACTTTAGTCAATCGTTATATCGTGCACTGATGCATTGTGCGCCTTGTTCAAAACGACGTCGTTTTTATGTTATGATTTTATATGTATTATATTAAAAGTTTATGTGTATTATGTTAAGAGTTTATGTATATTATGTTAAAAGTTTGTATATTCTGTTAAGAGTTTATATGTATTCTGTTATGAGTTTATGTACATTCAAAACAGGAGATTTTTATTTTTTAAAAAACGTCAAAAAGGAGAAACGGAATTTCTAAAAGAAAAAATAATAATAATTCAAAACAACGTCGTTTTGGCTAGGACGCCCTGTTGCACGATATAATTTGCCAACTTTAGTCTAACATTTTCTGTGGGCTTGGGTCTGATCTTGTATTGGTGGAGTGGTTTTGGGATTGTTTGATTTGGTTTAGTTTTTATTTTAGAAGGTCTGATCTAGATAAGCTTGCTATTGTGAACTTTGAAATATTAGATAGTACGTGGACAAAAAACACACAATGAACTCTTTTAATTAATTATAGTTTTATTTATACTTTAAAATACAATTTCAAATATGATTACAATAATTAATAATTGTAACTTTTTTTTTAATGCCGACTGTATTATATTGTTGTATCTATTCAAACATTACTTTCTCAACCTAATGAAGCACAAAAGGTCAACAACGCCTTCATTACGGCTCGATCTTATGACCTCCCACATGAGAAAGGTCAAAACATGTCATCTAAGCACAATATATGTGCTTGGCAATTGATAATCATAACTTAAATAAAGAGACAAGTTAAAATCTCAGCGATATGATGATTTGTATGATAGTTGAGTATTGCAATAGTTGGTCCACACAGTTGTGTGAACTACGGTCCAAAAATGACGTCGTTTCGTGTAACTTTTTTTTCACGTAACCCAATGCAACATACATTAATTTGCCTGAGAACTAAAGCCATGGTTTGTGAACGGCAAATTATACCATGGACCAAGGTTTACACTGCATTGTAGACCTTGGTCCAAAAATAAACTTCAGATTCTGTATCTATAGTTAACACATTCTGTACCTGCAGTTGATACTTTATGTACCTGTAGCTATCATATTATGTGTCAGCAATTATCAAGTCAGATTATGTATCTATATAGTTGACACATTCTGTACCTACAGGTGATAGTTTTTGTACCTGTAGGCTGTAACTATCATATTATGTTTAAGCAATTATCAACTTATTTGTTTACATATACAGAAACGGTTAACTGTAGGTATAAAATGTGTTAACTGAAGGTACAATCTTTTTGTATTAGAGTTCATAGTACAATATCAACAATGGTCCATGGTATACCAATTCGTTTATGAAGTGGCCGGATTGCATTGCATGATTCCAACTCTAGTCTAGAATTTTTCACTTTGACAGGCCTTGCTCCACTAGAAGGAACAACAACCTTTTATTCTAGCCCATATATATATATATATATATATATATATATATATATATATATATATATATACTAGTATATTTTTATGCGCGATGCGCAAAAAATAGGTACCCAATACTAATACATTTTATTAAAATTTTAAATTTATTAAAATTTTAGATATTTAAATTATTTTAAATAATAATAATAATAATAATAATAATAATAATAATGATGATGATGATGTAAATCATTTTTATAAATTTGATATTTATATTTTATGTAATAATTAACATATAACTCAAATATATAATGTTTATATATTATTATTAATGAAGAAGATAAGAAAATATATGGTGAATGCATGTGCATGGTAATAATAGTGGAAAAGATAACGAAAGTTATAACGGTAGGGGTATGTTTGTCCAAAATATTTTAATGTACAACCTTTATAGCATAATGTACAAAAAAACTTAACGGAAAAAACGGACATAAATTAGGGGTATAACTTTCATTCACACTTATTATGTTTTTAGATTTAGATATATATATATATATATATATATATATATATATATATATATATATATATATATGGGCAATGTTTAAAATTCTTGTCTAGACAATCCAGCCCAACATTATTTCCGAACGATAAACTCATTCAAATGGGCATTTTTACTTTTTTTTTTTTAATTATTATAATTGCTTAGTAATATTATATGTGCTCATATGCCAATGACCTTATAGTCTAGTGGCACGAAGTGATTCTTTCAAATGAAGGTCATAAGTTCGAACTTCAGTGGGGTGGTATTGACTCTGTGCTTCAGTAGGTTTAGAAAGTAGTTATGAACTAACAAAAAAAAAAAAGTGCTCCTACATGTATTTTCCTTTTTACTCTTTTTGACATAACATTTGATTCATTAAAAAAAAAGTGTAATAAATTTGTTACAGTAGGTTGAGAAAGTATATGAACAGATACTACATTATAATAGAGCCAATAACATTCAAAAAAAAAATGTTACTAATGAAATGTGTCAATACTTTAAAACAGAGTCAATATCCATTTTAGTCCATCAACTATTAAGTATTGCTTAATGGTAGGGAATATCCCGACCGCCATAGCTCTACCACGACCGAGGTGCCTTTGTCTTTGTCTTTTTGTCTTTGCAGGTAGCAGGTCGGGCTTTTTATGAAGAACCCGGTCGGGAAGCGACCGGGAATGGCCCGAGCGGTAGTGTCGACCACCGAGCGGTAGCCCTTTGGCGAGGGAGCTGATAAAGGACACGTGGCGGCTCTCTGTGGCGACAGATAGGGCACCCGGGAGGATGACACGTGGTGGCTACGTGGAGAACATGCCGAACGACCGGATTCTTGTCCAAGGCACAGCGGCTATAAATACCCACAGTAGCTACAGTGTAGAGGACTTTTGGACGATCGATAGGTTGTTACTAGAGAATCCCGACCGCAGTCAGTCGGCACTCAGAGCAACCAAGTAGATTGTACTTAGGGCCTTTACCGTGATCAAGAAAGTCTTTTACTTGCTTTAATTGGTCTCGGGTTTATTTTATATTGCTTACGTAGAATTAGCAGTATCATTTTGACGCCGTCCGTGGGGACCCGTGCGAAAAAGCAACGTCTTGACGAGCACCCGATCTCTTCGCAATCATGTATCCGTGGGCTCACAACAACTTCGCCGACGACCAGGCGGACGCAGCGAGTTCATCTGGGCACCATGCCACCCAACAGCAAGGTCAGACGGTGGAACTGAATCTTAATCTCTCACCGCCGCATCCGTCTAACACATACCCGGTTGCCCAACAACCGGTGAACTACATTCAACCGGGATACCCAACACCCGGTCAGCCATATCAGCAACAGCCGGTGATGTACCCCGGCCAATATCCATACCCGGTCCCACCTCCGTCGTACGGGTATTGGCCTGGCCAACCGATGTACTATACTCCCCCGGTTGGGTATCCACCATTTACGCCTGCTTACACGGCTCCAGCCGCCGCCCCTCCAGTTCACCCGACCGCACAGGTAGAGCCGCAGCGTCGGTCCGCTTCCAGGGCTCGACGCTCAGCTCATTTGCAGTTGGGGTCGGGGGGTGCTGATGCGATGGAGGCACCAGGGCAGGCCCAGCAAGCAGCCGAGGTTCCTGTCCAAGCGGAGGACCCCGAAGAAACTGCCCGAGCGGCAGCTTTTGATCGTCTTCGACCGGAGATGCGTCAGCGTTTGGGACCCCAAGACCCGAACTGCCAGCAAGAAGACGTGCAGATGCAGGAGGCCAGCCAGGAAGCCTCATCAGGGTATAGCGGGTCGAGGTCTCACCGACGGCGACGCGCTCGGGATACAGCCCAAGCTGCTCAGGCCGCCGAGCTCAACGAGACCCGAGAATTACTCTATAACCTCCAGGCGGAGTTCGCGCAATTCAGAAATGCGCACCCTGCAGCACCCCCGGTCGACCAACCGACCCTACACCAGACGCCTTTCACAGCGGCGGTGATGGCTGAGCCCTACCCGCTTGATTTAAAGGTCTCCGGAGAGAAAACTTATGATGGCCGGACAGACCCCGAGGCTCACGTCAACGACTTCTACAGCAATATGACTCTGAAGGGCGTCTCAGACGCCTTAATGTGTAGGGATTTCTATTCCACGCTTACCGGTCGGGCGGCGGAATGGTTCCGAACTTTGCAGCCGGGTTCGATCGACAGGTTCGACACCTTGGCAATCAAGTTCGTGAGGAAATTCATTACTTCCAAAGTGGTGAGGAAGTCTTATATGTATCTGGAGAAGGCCAAGCAACTTGAAGGCGAGAGCTTGACCGATTTCCTCATCAAATGGAAAGCGGCGGTCGGGGAGGTCGAGCCCATGGACGATGCGACTGCCACCCACATGCTACACATCTCTCTCCGGGCGGGGTATTTATATCAAGATTTTATTTTACATCCCCCGGCTACTTATGAGGAGGCCCTTCGAAGGGTCACGGATTATGCCAATGCTGGCGAGGCGAACGCCGTAAAGCGCTCGCAAGAGGTCGGGTCTTCGTCCCGTAAATCGGCCGGCCGGGCGGAACACCGATCGGGTGATGACCATCCCCGATCCCGCACCAGGCCTGGCGAGTTTACGGCCTTGAACTGATCTGCAGCGGAGGCCATGCAGTATGCCCAGTCTTGCAATCTCATCAAGCTTCCCCATCCCGATCGAGATGGCCCTGATAAGAGTAAACATTGCGCTTACCACCGATGTGCTGGCCATGACACTGAAGAGTGTACCCACTTGCGCCAACTATTGGAGGATTTGCTCAATCTTGGGAAGTTGGACAAGTGTGTGGGGAGGAGAGAAGACCCCAAGAGGAATACCGATCGGAGAGATCAGCGGCGCTCCCATCACCGCTCGGATCGGTCAGGTCAGGACCGAAGAGACGATCGAAGAGATGATCGTCGCGATGACCGACGGGACCCTGACCCTCCATCTAGCAGCCGACCAGCAGGAAAGCCGACCATCCACGTTATTTTCGGTGGATTAGAAGATGTTTCCCGACCGCGGAGTAATTGCCCGGTCGCCATAGTGGATTCCCGGGAGACCGGGAAGAGGCAAAAGATGGAGCCCATAACCTTCACCCTGGAAGATCAACGCAGCAGCGGCGACCACGGCATGGAGGCGCTCGTGGTCATAATTGATGTGAAAGGAACGGATGTCCAAAGGGTTATGGTCGACACTGGCAGCAGTGTGAACGTCATTTATTTGGACGTGTTTGAAAAGCTTGGACTAGACAGGAAGGAGCTGACTCCGGTCGGTGTACCACTGTCTGGCTTTACCGGGGCTCTTATTTACCCCGAGGGAAAGATAACGCTCCCAGTCGAGATCGGCACAACCCCGAAGTCGATCAAGACGGAGCTAGAATTCGTTGTGGTCAACCTCCACTGCGTCCACAACATTATCTTGGGCCGACCCGCCATTATGAAGATCGGTGGGATAATTTCAATGCCTCACCTGTGCATGAAATTCCCCACCCCCAATGGGGTCGGTGTAGTCCGTGGCGATGTCCAATCCGCCCGGAAGTGTTACACCCGAGCGGTTAACAGACGCGATTCCGGTTCGTCTTCCCGGGTAAACACCATAGCCAAAGAGGAGGCTAAAGATCGGAAGGAACAGCGCGTTTGATCATATTATGAATTTTCTGTTATGAGATTATGAATTTTATGAAAATTCATAATCTTATAACAGAAAATTCATAATAGCATAACAGAAAATTCATAATCTCACAACTGAAAATTCATAATCTCATAACAGAAAATTCATAATCTTATAACAGAAAATTCATAATCTTATAACAGAAAATTCATAATCTCATGGTTCCAAAGTGAATCAGTGAATGTGTAGGCATGGTTCCAAAGTGAATCAGTGAATGTGTAGGCATGGTTCCAAAGTGAATGTGCATGCATGGATTCATAATTTATGAATGTCCGTGATTTCGGACGGGAATATGTAGGCATGGTTCCAAAGTGAATGTGCAGGCATGAATTCATAATTTATGAATGTCCGAAATTATGAATGTAATGAAAATTCATAATCTCATAACAGAAAATTCATAATCGCATAACAGAAAATTCATGATCTCATAACTGAAAATTCATAATTTCATAACAGAAAATTCATAATCTTATAACAGAAAATTCATAATCTCATGGTTCCAAAGTGAATGTGTAGGCATGATTCCAAAGTGAATGTGCAGGCATGGATTCATAATTTATGAATTTCCGTGATTTCGGACGGGAATGTGTAGGCATGGTTCCAAAGTGAATGTGCAGGCATCAATTCATAATTTATGAATGTCCGAAATCTTTGTTCACCTCAAATTAAAGTGAAACCGCAAAATGTGAAAATAAAGAAGAAAAGTCACGCAATTAATTAAGAAAAAAAAAATGATATACTAACACCATTGGAACCGTGTTCACCATGAATGGTGAACACGGTTCCATGGCATAACGTCCCGTAGTACATAGTAGTTACTTTTATAGTCAAATATAGAAAACTGTTTGAAGCTTTTTATTGCCTATCCTATACAGATTACAGAAACCCCATATGCTTTTAGTCATAAAATAGTAATTTCTCATTATTACTCATTATTATTATTAAAAATAAAATCTGTATATATATTGGGCCATTAATTAAAAATTTTATGAGTTGGTATTATTATTCACACATATATATAGTATTTACATTATTAGTAGACGTATAAGATTTGTTTATACAATATAGTAGATTTGATTTTTGTAAAATATTTTAATAGTAGTTTAATATCTATAATTTCTTAGAATCTATATCTATACTTCTATATACCTATACTATACTACATATTATTAATAAAATTAAAAATTCTCATCTTCAATTTTTCCGCTCAAACTTTTGTTAATATTAATTAATTAATTTATTCCCAGCAGTAAACATGGGCATGCGGATTTAGCTATATGGGCGGTAACTAGCTAATCCACGTTATCTTTTTTAAAATATTATATACGAAAAATATTAACCTTACTTTTTAAGATTAATTATCTTATCACTTCTTTATATTAATATGAATTTTTTTAAAATAATAATAAATAATATAATTAAAGACAATTAAATTGAACCAAATAGCAACAAATGTTTCCTCAAAAAAAAAAAAAAAAAAAAAGCAACAAATGTAAAATTAATTTCACTTAATTGGACCCAATAGTAAATAATTACAAATGAATTTGTTTCTAGGTGATTGTACTTTGTTAGTAAATAGATTATTCTACATGGCTTTCAAAAAAGATTATTCTACATGGCTTTTAATCTTTAGCCGTTAACACATGGAATTCAGATTTGATTTTGGGATTTTAGTTTTATTTTAAGAACTAGAGTAGACGGAGGACTAGAATTACAATTGTTTTAGTTAAGTTTTAGCGGCGATTTAAAGAACTGCCGGTAAAATACACATTAAATTAAAAATAAATTAATATTTTGTGAGTTTTAGTATAACTTTAGTGGCGATTTTTCTAACTGTCGCAAAATATTCATTTAGCGGCTGTTATATATATAACCGCCGCTAAATATGTGTCGCTAAAAATTTGATTTGTTGTAGTGAATATAGATTATCAAATTATATATATAGAATTATAAAGGATGTAACAAATTTTGATAATTCAGTCAAAATTTTGTTTAATTCAATTAACCAAAACTTTCAAACAAAATTAATCGATAACTGGAATTCGTTAAAATACAAAATAGTTTTTTTTTTTCTTTTTCAAAACTGAAAAGTTCACTAACTGATTAATTAAACTTTTTTTATTTGATCGATTAGTTCAAGTTTAATTAAAGTTGGTATACTGTGGATTTTTATTTTGTTACTAGTTGTAAAAACGCACTATGTGCGATTGAATAATGTTCAATGAAAAATAAAAAGTTAGTAAAATTAAACGATTGAAATAAAAAAGAAACACATAAATCTGATAAATATTAGAAGATAAAATTTTACTTTTTAATGATAAAAATATTAATATTTAGCATAATTTTTAAAAAATTGCATTGAACCTAGTAGCTATTGTATTTCAAAAACATTAGATTTAGTTTTTAGCAAATGCAATTGATTTTTCTTATAATTTTTTTTATTATAATTTGATTTTAACACCAATAAAATAATAAATGAAACCGATTGAAATATTTTTCTGACAATAAACCAATGATGCATGTATTCTACATCAAATAAGATACAAATGAAAAATAAATTTCTTTAAAAAATTAATAAGAAGTGAGTTTTTAATTTAAAAATTAAGTTAAAATAAATAGATGTTAGCCAAGCACCTTGTGCTCAGATGGCATGTAGTGACCTCTCCCATGTGGGAAGTTATGAGATCGAGCCTCAGTGGAGGCGTTGTTGACTCTTTGTGCTTCATTAGGTTGAGAAAGTATATTTGAATAGATACTACAATGTAATAGAGTCAGTAGCATTCAAAAAAAAAAAAAATAGATGTTAAATTTACATATAAGAAAATCATATTAAAATAAACACATAGTATTTATTAAATAAAAATTACGCTTTATTAGTGTATTGAAACAAATATGCAAGTTTGAGAGATAGTTGTAGGACATGGCCGGATTTTGGGCTGTGCAAGCAGCCCAACAGCACAGGGCCCCAAATTTTAGAGGGCTCAATATTTAATTTTTATTTAACTAGTTAAGATATTATAAGACATAAAAATTACAATTAATTTTGAAAGATTACATAGAGGAATGGTAGAAACATGTGATTATTGTGTTTTTTTTTGGGAGGTCTAAGGTTCGATTCTAGCTTTTGACATCTTTCATTTTTTTAAAAAATCCTTTTATTATTATTAGAAAAAAATTAAACTTTTGATAGAGCCTCATTTATTTTAAGAACAGGGCCACACAAAATTAAAAACCGGCCTTGTTGTAGGAAAAAATTGAACCAACTCGATTTAAGATAACATAACAAAGCAATTGATACTATGGCTGGGCTTACCCACGATATCAAAAGCGACCTGAGAATAGTTGTAGGAAAAAATAAAACCAAGTCGATTTAATCACAAAATAATATTTATATATATCCACACGAATATAAATAAATAAATAAATAAATAAATAAATAAATAAATATATATATATATATATATATATATATATATATATATATATATATATATATATAAAAGATCATATGAGAACATTTGCTTAGGTTAGAACGTGAGAACAAATCGTGTGCATCCATCTAATATTTTTTAATGGTATATATTAGATTAAGTGTGTGGGAATGCGAATTAAATGTGTGCAAACGCGATTAAGTGTGCTCGCACACATTTAATGCGCGTTCGCACACACTTAATCTAATCTATACCATTACAAAATATTAGATGGATGCACATGATGTGTTCTAATGTTCTCATCTAAGTACATGTTCTCACTGGAACCCTACGCTATATATATATATATATATATATATATATATATATATATATATATATATATATATATATATATATATATATATATATAT